ACAGCTCAAGGTGTGTGGCAGACAGCTCAAGGTGTGTGGCAGACAGCTCAAGGTGTGTGGCAGACAGCTCAAGGTGTGTGGCAGACAGCTCAAGGTGTGTGGCAGACAGCTCAAGGTGTGTGGCAGACAGCTCAAGGTGTGTGGCAGACAGCTCAAGGTGTGTGGCAGACAGCTCAAGGTGTGTGGCAGACAGCTCAAGGTGTGTGGCAGACAGCTCAAGGTGTGTGGCAGACAGCTCAAGGTGTGTGGCAGACAGCTCAAGGTGTGTGGCAGACAGCTCAAGGTGTGTGGCAGACAGCTCAAGGTGTGTGGCAGACAGCTCAAGGTGTGTGGCAGACAGCTCAAGGTGTGTGGCAGACAGCTCAAGGTGTGTGGCAGACAGCTCAAGGTGTGTGGCAGACAGCTCAAGGTGTGTGGCAGACAGCTCAAGGTGTGTGGCAGACAGCTCAAGGTGTGTGGCAGACAGCTCAAGGTGTGTGGCAGACAGCTCAAGGTGTGTGGCAGACAGCTCAAGGTGTGTGGCAGACAGCTCAAGGTGTGTGGCAGACAGCTCAAGGTGTGTGGCAGACAGCTCAAGGTGTGTGGCAGACAGCTCAAGGTGTGTGGCAGACAGCTCAAGGTGTGTGGCAGACAGCTCAAGGTGTGTGGCAGACAGCTCAAGGTGTGTGGCAGACAGCTCAAGGTGTGTGGCAGACAGCTCAAGGTGTGTGGCAGACAGCTCAAGGTGTGTGGCAGACAGCTCAAGGTGTGTGGCAGACAGCTCAAGGTGTGTGGCAGACAGCTCAAGGTGTGTGGCAGACAGCTCAAGGTGTGTGGCAGACAGCTCAAGGTGTGTGGCAGACAGCTCAAGGTGTGTGGCAGACAGCTCAAGGTGTGTGGCAGACAGCTCAAGGTGTGTGGCAGACAGCTCAAGGTGTGTGGCAGACAGCTCAAGGTGTGTGGCAGACAGCTCAAGGTGTGTGGCAGACAGCTCAAGGTGTGTGGCAGACAGCTCAAGGTGTGTGGCAGACAGCTCAAGGTGTGTGGCAGACAGCTCAAGGTGTGTGGCAGACAGCTCAAGGTGTGTGGCAGACAGCTCAAGGTGTGTGGCAGACAGCTCAAGGTGTGTGGCAGACAGCTCAAGGTGTGTGGCAGACAGCTCAAGGTGTGTGGCAGACAGCTCAAGGTGTGTGGCAGACAGCTCAAGGTGTGTGGCAGACAGCTCAAGGTGTGTGGCAGACAGCTCAAGGTGTGTGGCAGACAGCTCAAGGTGTGTGGCAGACAGCTCAAGGTGTGTGGCAGACAGCTCAAGGTGTGTGGCAGACAGCTCAAGGTGTGTGGCAGACAGCTCAAGGTGTGTGGCAGACAGCTCAAGGTGTGTGGCAGACAGCTCAAGGTGTGTGGCAGACAGCTCAAGGTGTGTGGCAGACAGCTCAAGGTGTGTGGCAGACAGCTCAAGGTGTGTGGCAGACAGCTCAAGGTGTGTGGCAGACAGCTCAAGGTGTGTGGCAGACAGCTCAAGGTGTGTGGCAGACAGCTCAAGGTGTGTGGCAGACAGCTCAAGGTGTGTGGCAGACAGCTCAAGGTGTGTGGCAGACAGCTCAAGGTGTGTGGCAGACAGCTCAAGGTGTGTGGCAGACAGCTCAAGGTGTGTGGCAGACAGCTCAAGGTGTGTGGCAGACAGCTCAAGGTGTGTGGCAGACAGCTCAAGGTGTGTGGCAGACAGCTCAAGGTGTGTGGCAGACAGCTCAAGGTGTGTGGCAGACAGCTCAAGGTGTGTGGCAGACAGCTCAAGGTGTGTGGCAGACAGCTCAAGGTGTGTGGCAGACAGCTCAAGGTGTGTGGCAGACAGCTCAAGGTGTGTGGCAGACAGCTCAAGGTGTGTGGCAGACAGCTCAAGGTGTGTGGCAGACAGCTCAAGGTGTGTGGCAGACAGCTCAAGGTGTGTGGCAGACAGCTCAAGGTGTGTGGCAGACAGCTCAAGGTGTGTGGCAGACAGCTCAAGGTGTGTGGCAGACAGCTCAAGGTGTGTGGCAGACAGCTCAAGGTGTGTGGCAGACAGCTCAAGGTGTGTGGCAGACAGCTCAAGGTGTGTGGCAGACAGCTCAAGGTGTGTGGCAGACAGCTCAAGGTGTGTGGCAGACAGCTCAAGGTGTGTGGCAGACAGCTCAAGGTGTGTGGCAGACAGCTCAAGGTGTGTGGCAGACAGCTCAAGGTGTGTGGCAGACAGCTCAAGGTGTGTGGCAGACAGCTCAAGGTGTGTGGCAGACAGCTCAAGGTGTGTGGCAGACAGCTCAAGGTGTGTGGCAGACAGCTCAAGGTGTGTGGCAGACAGCTCAAGGTGTGTGGCAGACAGCTCAAGGTGTGTGGCAGACAGCTCAAGGTGTGTGGCAGACAGCTCAAGGTGTGTGGCAGACAGCTCAAGGTGTGTGGCAGACAGCTCAAGGTGTGTGGCAGACAGCTCAAGGTGTGTGGCAGACAGCTCAAGGTGTGTGGCAGACAGCTCAAGGTGTGTGGCAGACAGCTCAAGGTGTGTGGCAGACAGCTCAAGGTGTGTGGCAGACAGCTCAAGGTGTGTGGCAGACAGCTCAAGGTGTGTGGCAGACAGCTCAAGGTGTGTGGCAGACAGCTCAAGGTGTGTGGCAGACAGCTCAAGGTGTGTGGCAGACAGCTCAAGGTGTGTGGCAGACAGCTCAAGGTGTGTGGCAGACAGCTCAAGGTGTGTGGCAGACAGCTCAAGGTGTGTGGCAGACAGCTCAAGGTGTGTGGCAGACAGCTCAAGGTGTGTGGCAGACAGCTCAAGGTGTGTGGCAGACAGCTCAAGGTGTGTGGCAGACAGCTCAAGGTGTGTGGCAGACAGCTCAAGGTGTGTGGCAGACAGCTCAAGGTGTGTGGCAGACAGCTCAAGGTGTGTGGCAGACAGCTCAAGGTGTGTGGCAGACAGCTCAAGGTGTGTGGCAGACAGCTCAAGGTGTGTGGCAGACAGCTCAAGGTGTGTGGCAGACAGCTCAAGGTGTGTGGCAGACAGCTCAAGGTGTGTGGCAGACAGCTCAAGGTGTGTGGCAGACAGCTCAAGGTGTGTGGCAGACAGCTCAAGGTGTGTGGCAGACAGCTCAAGGTGTGTGGCAGACAGCTCAAGGTGTGTGGCAGACAGCTCAAGGTGTGTGGCAGACAGCTCAAGGTGTGTGGCAGACAGCTCAAGGTGTGTGGCAGACAGCTCAAGGTGTGTGGCAGACAGCTCAAGGTGTGTGGCAGACAGCTCAAGGTGTGTGGCAGACAGCTCAAGGTGTGTGGCAGACAGCTCAAGGTGTGTGGCAGACAGCTCAAGGTGTGTGGCAGACAGCTCAAGGTGTGTGGCAGACAGCTCAAGGTGTGTGGCAGACAGCTCAAGGTGTGTGGCAGACAGCTCAAGGTGTGTGGCAGACAGCTCAAGGTGTGTGGCAGACAGCTCAAGGTGTGTGGCAGACAGCTCAAGGTGTGTGGCAGACAGCTCAAGGTGTGTGGCAGACAGCTCAAGGTGTGTGGCAGACAGCTCAAGGTGTGTGGCAGACAGCTCAAGGTGTGTGGCAGACAGCTCAAGGTGTGTGGCAGACAGCTCAAGGTGTGTGGCAGACAGCTCAAGGTGTGTGGCAGACAGCTCAAGGTGTGTGGCAGACAGCTCAAGGTGTGTGGCAGACAGCTCAAGGTGTGTGGCAGACAGCTCAAGGTGTGTGGCAGACAGCTCAAGGTGTGTGGCAGACAGCTCAAGGTGTGTGGCAGACAGCTCAAGGTGTGTGGCAGACAGCTCAAGGTGTGTGGCAGACAGCTCAAGGTGTGTGGCAGACAGCTCAAGGTGTGTGGCAGACAGCTCAAGGTGTGTGGCAGACAGCTCAAGGTGTGTGGCAGACAGCTCAAGGTGTGTGGCAGACAGCTCAAGGTGTGTGGCAGACAGCTCAAGGTGTGTGGCAGACAGCTCAAGGTGTGTGGCAGACAGCTCAAGGTGTGTGGCAGACAGCTCAAGGTGTGTGGCAGACAGCTCAAGGTGTGTGGCAGACAGCTCAAGGTGTGTGGCAGACAGCTCAAGGTGTGTGGCAGACAGCTCAAGGTGTGTGGCAGACAGCTCAAGGTGTGTGGCAGACAGCTCAAGGTGTGTGGCAGACAGCTCAAGGTGTGTGGCAGACAGCTCAAGGTGTGTGGCAGACAGCTCAAGGTGTGTGGCAGACAGCTCAAGGTGTGTGGCAGACAGCTCAAGGTGTGTGGCAGACAGCTCAAGGTGTGTGGCAGACAGCTCAAGGTGTGTGGCAGACAGCTCAAGGTGTGTGGCAGACAGCTCAAGGTGTGTGGCAGACAGCTCAAGGTGTGTGGCAGACAGCTCAAGGTGTGTGGCAGACAGCTCAAGGTGTGTGGCAGACAGCTCAAGGTGTGTGGCAGACAGCTCAAGGTGTGTGGCAGACAGCTCAAGGTGTGTGGCAGACAGCTCAAGGTGTGTGGCAGACAGCTCAAGGTGTGTGGCAGACAGCTCAAGGTGTGTGGCAGACAGCTCAAGGTGTGTGGCAGACAGCTCAAGGTGTGTGGCAGACAGCTCAAGGTGGGGCAGACAGCTCAAGGCAGACAGCTCAAGGCAGACTTTTCAGATGGGTGGGTGCTCACATTGTGATGGCATGGCATGGCATGGATGGGCTTCATTCCTGCATGCACCACAAGCAGAGCACCATCACATTGTCCTTCCCCCGCTCTTCCCTCTGCCCACTAACCAGGTCGGGTGGGCTTCAGCTTCCCACGCTCCAACAGCCGCCTCACCAGCAACACCTGCCTCCCCTCGCCCTTCCCGCTCACGCACTTACCCTTGCTCCCGTCCCCCTTGCTCTGTTCCCCCTCTCTCCTCCCAGGTTGGATGGGCTTCAGCCTTCCACGCCCCCTCAGCCGCCTCACCAGCAGCACCTGCCTTCCCAAGCGCCATCCCAGGCATGCCGGCTATGTTGGATGGGCTATTCTCACGAGCGCTGCTGCTGCCCACTCACTCCCTTCCCCCCGTGCCACAGGTCGGATGGGCCTCTGCCTCACATGCCCCAAGCGCTGCTTCACCAGCGGCACCTGCCTTCCCAAGCGCCATTCCAGGCATGCCGGCTATCCCGGGGTTCCCCGGTGCTGCCTTGCCAGCAGCAGCAGGAGGGGCGGGGCTGATGGGAGCAGTGCCTGGCGCTGTCGCTGCTGCCTCCCCAGCAGAGGTACGACCCGCCTTCTCAGATGGGCATTTCCAGGTATTTCCATATTCCTTCGCAGTCGTTCCCAGGTTACATGCCATGCGTTCCTTGCTTTTATCTGCGCACATGCGTTCCCATATGAACTCACTTCCGCTCTTCTCTCTCGTTCTCTCATGTTCTCTCTCCCTTCCCCTCCCCCGCCTTTCCCCTGCTTCTCCGACCCCCCTTTCGTTCGCCTCTTCCTCGCCTCTCTCCATCCGCCCATTCCAGGCAGCAGCATCACTGCCAGCTTCGCCCTGTCGCTGCATTGTGATGCGGAACATGGTGACACCAGAGGAGGTGGATGATGACTTGCAGAGCGAGGTGAGTGAAGCATCGCGCATGGCACTCTTGCATGCAACCACGAATTATTCTGTTCTGACTAACCATCTTTTGGTGACCTGTCTGTTAGGTTGAAGATTCCTCAAAAGCGGCTCAGATTCTGTTCCTCCTATTCCCCCAATTCCTCGCCCCAATTCCTCGCCCCAATTCCTCGCCCCAACCATGCCTTGTCCCTCTTCTGCAGGTGACGGATGAATGTGGCAAGTTTGGCAAGGTGGAGCGAGTTGTCATCTACCAGGTGAGCCCCCTGTCAGGTGAGCCCCCTGTCAGGTGAATTTGTGTCAGGTGACGGATGAATGTGGCAAGTTTGGCAAGGTGGAGCGAGTTGTCATCTACCAGGTGAGCCCCCTGTCAGGTGAGCCCCCTGTCAGGTGAATTTGTGTCAGGTGACGGATGAATGTGGCAAGTTTGGCAAGGTGGAGCGAGTTGTCATCTACCAGGTGAGCCCCCTGTCAGGTGAGCCCCCTGTCAGGTGAATTTGTGTCAGGTGACGGATGAATGTGGCAAGTTTGGCAAGGTGGAGCGAGTTGTCATCTACCAGGTGAGCCCCCTGTCAGGTGAGCCCCCTGTCAGGTGAATTTGTGTCAGGTGACGGATGAATGTGGCAAATTTGGCAAGGTGGAACGGGTCGTCATCTACCAGGTGAGTTTCCCATCAGGTGAACGCCCTCAAGTGGATGCCTATCAGGTTAATGCTTTCACGTGGACATGTGTCAGGTGAATGCTTTCAGGTGAAATTTTGTCAGCGCCTGGTATTTTTCTCCTTTTTTAAATCCGGTTTGTTAATCGAGGGCTTTTGTGGCTCACCTCGCTCTCACATTCCTGCTGCCTGTTCGTTTCCCCCGTGTGCAGGAGCAACAATCGGAGAAGCCAGGCGATGCAATTGTGAAGATCTTTGTTCTCTTCTCAAGCACCCCAGGTGAAGCTTCAAGCAATAGGTTCCTGCTCCTCCTCCTCCTCCAACCGTCTCCCCCCCACCACCCCCCCCCCCCCACACCACCTCCCTTTCTTTATTTCCCGTGTTCCTTCAACCCACCGTCCCCCCCTCGCCGCCACTTTATTTATCTTCATCATGCTCTCTTGCTGGCTGTCTCATTCTTGCCCTCGGTCTCCCCTTGCCCTTCCTCCTCGCTTTCACACACGCACGCATGCACTAGAAATATGTGCCCGCACACTTATACATCCCCAAGCCTTTCATTGTTCATTGCTTTCCCCATCTTGTGACCAGTTCTGTTGGCATGGCTTGTCCCGTCTCTGGCATGGCATGATATGTACTGTCTCTGGCGTGGCATGGCTTGTGCTGTCTGTGGCATGGCATGGCATGGCATGGCATGGCATGGCATGGCATGTCATGGCATGTGCTGTCTTTGGCATTTGCATGGCGTGCATTTCCGTCTTGGTGTTCACTCTTGTTCCCATCGGAGCAGAGGCACAGGCAGCACAGCAGTCGCTGCACAACAGATGGTTCGGAGGCCGGCAGGTCATTGCAAGGTCAGTGCAGCATCTATGTTTCCGCTCAGCCTCTCAACCTTGGACCTTTCTTTCCTTTCAATTGTGCCGCAAACATTTGTTTCCGTTTTGCGTTGCACAGCCATGCTCTGTATTCCCTCAAATTTGTTGTAATTTCGCTACCTACACTTCAATCTATCCCACACACGTTCAATCTATCCCACACACGTTCAATCTATCCCACACACGTTCAAGCTATCCCACACAATTCACACATGGTGGAAACATTCATTTTGGTGTTGGTGTGGCTGAGGTCTCCTGTCCTCACACTTGCATGCATCCCCATTGCTACTGCAATTACGCCTTGTTCCGTCCTTGTGCTCCTTGGCAGCTTTTATCCCGAAGTGCTGTTCGCACGAAACGACTTCTCCCGCTGAGCGGTTGCGTTGATGACTTGAGACTGGTCTGATCTGATGGTTTACGTTACGTGTAATGCGTTGATCATAGGGGTTTTGTTGAGGTGTTTTTAGGAGCTGAAATCTAGAGGTAATTGAAGAGTTTTTAGCTTCTGTTACTTAACCTTTACCTGTTTCGTGGGGAATTTCACAGCTAGTACTCTACGTCATACCTATTAATGATGGCTAATAAGTATCTGCAACCTACATTTCGGTGTACTTATTAAAAGAGACTGCGCAACCAGTCGCGGTTTCTCGCCCCACCTCCTCCCTTTTCAACCCCACGCTTCCCTCTTCCCTGCACCAAAGCTTCCGCCTCCCCGTCTCGTTTCCGCGCGGCATCAGGATTCGAAAAAGTGCATGAATGAATCGTCTATTGCATGGCGTCTGCATTCTCCCTCACGGCAGCGTGTCGCCGGATCGCGTCATCCGCGCGCCTTAGTCTAACTACCACTGGTAGCCTCCTCCGTCAAGCCTCTTCAGCTTCCGCCGTTTCCGTGCCGCCTGGGGTTTCGTCTGGTTCTTCCGCTATTGTCGGTTCGTCTGGTCGCAGCGCTGGATTTTTCACGCAGTCCAGATTGCTCTCGTTTCTCGGCAGCCGTCCGTCAGGTTCTCCGTCAAATTCCCGCTGTGTGTTGACGCTAGGCCAGGGACTATCATTGGCGGTTGGAGCTACGTGCGTGGAGTCTCCTTATTCCGTTTTTCAAAGACACATGGCGACGGCTGGACAAGTTATCAAGTGCAAGGGTGAGACAATTAACGTCCCTATATTTCATCGAATTTCACTGGGGTGGGGTTTTTAAGCGTAGTATTTCAAGAGATTCACCCTGAATCCGCTATTATCGCGTGGCGCTTGTTACGGAAAGCTTCGCCGCATACTTTCAGCAACGGAGGGTGTCATGCGGTCCCAACAAGCCGTAGGGAACTCGATCACAACTTTTTGTCTTGCTAGTCGACTTTAGTATTGATGGTTCTTTCTTTCTTTCTTTCAGGATATGACCCCTTCTCACTGTTTCTTCCTTGACTCCTTTCATGCAGCGGCGGTGACGTGGCCGCCGAATCAAGCCGTTGGTGATGGGGGAGGTGGAGGTGGCGCCTTCTCGCTTCTGTGTCTTCTAATATTGTAGATTTGAATTTCTGGCCTGATTTTTTGCGACTACTTGTGTGTAGCGGCGCTGGCATGGGCGCCGAACAAGCCACTGGTGATCGAGGAGGTGGAGGTGGCACCTTCTCACTTCAGTTTCTTCGTTACAAGGGCACGCCACCTGACCGCTTTCCTTACTGCTTCTCTCTTGACTTATTGCGTGCAGCGGCGCTGGCATGGGCGCCCAACAAGCCACTGGTGATCGAGGAGGCGGAGGTGGCACCTTCTCACTTCAGTTTCTTCGTTACAAGGGCACGCCACCTGACCGCTTTCCTTACTGCTTCTCTCTTGACTTATTGCGTGCAGCGGCGGTGGCATGGGCCCTCAACAAGCCGCTGGTGATCGAGGAGGTGGAGGTGGCGCCTTCTCACTTCAGTGTCCTCTCTTATTGCAGATTTGATTTTTCTGCCTAACATCGTTGCAAGTCCCTGTGTGCAGCTGCGGTGGCGTGGGCGCCGAACAAGCCGCTGGTGATTGAGGAGGTGGAGGTGGCGCCGCCACAGGCGGGGGAGGTGCGGATCCGCATCACACACACCGCGCTCTGCCACACCGACGCGTACACTCTGGACGGCCACGACCCCGAGGGGCTCTTCCCGTGCATCCTGGGCCATGAGGCTGCTGGGTGAGTGGGTTGTGGGTTGTGTGCTGCTGTGCGGTATGGCTGGGTGTCACGGATGTTGCCTCTGCCACACCGACGCGTACACTCTGGACGGCCATGACCCCGAGGGGCTCTTTCCGTGCATCCTGGGCCATGAGGCTGCTGGGTGAGTGGGTTGTGTGCTGTGTGGTTAGGTGTTGCAGGTGTGAGGGCTTCAATTGGACGCGTACACTCTGGACGGCCATGACCCTGAGGGGCTCTTTCCCTGCATCCTGGGCCATGAGGCTGCTGGGTGAGTATCTTCGGTGCTGCTGTGTGTGTGGTATAGCTGACTGGTTGTCTTGGGTGCTGTTTCTGCCACACGGACGCGTACACTCTGGACGGTCACGACCCTGAGGGGCTCTTTCCTTGCATCCTGAGCCATGAGGCTGCTGGGTGAATGTGGGTCTTGTTGCTCTGCTGTGTGGTATGGCTAGGTGTTACACACCGCGCTCTGCCACACGGACGCGTACACTCTGGACAGCCATGATCCCGAGGGGCTCTTCCCTTGCATCCTGGGCCATGAGGCTGTTGGGTGCGTACCTTGTGTGCTGCTGTGTGGTATGGCTGTCACAGATGGTAAATTCTACGGCTGGGCGAGATGACTTTTTGAGTCGACTCAATAGTCGACTCGACGACCATGTAGTTTCGTTCCAACAAGCAAAATATCAACGTCTTTCTCTTACCTCCTATCCTCCCCTCCTCCCAACCTGACAGCATCGTGGAGAGTGTGGGTGAGGGTGTGACGAGTGTACAGCCAGGCGACCATGTGATTCCGTGCTACCAGGCGGAGTGCTAATGCCTCTCTTACCAACATCCCCTGTTACCTTATCACATCCCTTGTACCACTCCCTCCTGCCTGCCACCATCCCAGCATTGTGGAGAGCGTGGGTGAGGGTGTGACGAGTGTACAGCCGGGCGACCATGTGATTCCGTGCTACCAGGCGGAGTGCCGCGAGTGCAAGTTCTGCAAGTCCGGGAAGACCAACCTGTGCGGCAAGGTCCGCCCCGCCACTGGTGAGTGAGGGATTATCAGTGTTTGTCTTCCCCGCCGCTGGTGAGTGAGTCATGGAGCACAAGTGTTTCTCCCGCTTGTTTTCTCAGCAACGCCGCAAGGGTCCGTGCTACCAGGCGGAGTGCCGCGAGTGCAAGTTTTGCAAGTCCGGGAAGACCAACCTGTGCGGCAAGGTCCGCCCTGCCACAGGTGAGTCAGAAGCACAAGTGACATTTTGCTCTTTTTTTTTTTTCCTCTCCTTTTTTGTCTTTTCTTTTTATTTCGTCTTTTCCCGTTGCGTCTTTTTTTTTCGTCTTTTCTCTTTGCGTCTTTTTTTTTCCGTCTTTTCTCTTTGTGTCATTTCCTTTTTTCCATGGGCACGAGCACGTCTCAGCGCGCCTTCCTCTCTCTCCCCCCTCCCTCTTCCCACGCACGCAGGTCGTGGGGTGATGCTGTTGGATGGCAAGCCGCGCTTCTCCATCCGCAGAGAGCCCATCAACCACTTCATTGGCACGAGCACGTTCAGCAAGTACATTCATTCTCCTCGCCCCTCCTGTTTTCCATACATCGCCCCTCTTTCCTTCAGGCCGTGGTGTGATGCTGTCAGACGGAAAGCCGCGCTTCACCGTGCGAGGGGAGCCGATCTACCACTTCATGGGCACCAGCACGTTCAGCGAGTACACGGTGGTTCACGATGTGTCTGTTGCCAAGATCAACCCAGAGGCGCCCCTTGACAAAGTGTGCCTGCTGGGCTGTGGCATCCCCACAGGTAAGGAACCAGCCTACTGGCCTGTGGTGTGCCCTCCTCCTTGTTTGTATATCCTGGCATCCTCTTGTTTCGCCAAGATCAACCCCCTTTGCCCCTATCTCCCGGCAGGGCTGGGAGCTGTGTGGAATCTAGCCAAGGTGGAGGCGTGTCAAACATTGACCGCCCTGAACCGCCTTGATTGAGCCACTCTGATCCGGATTGGCATTCTTCCATCCCTCCAACCGGCAGGGCTGGGAGCGGTGTGGAATGCAGCCAAGGTTGAACCCGGGTCCACCGTTGCCATCTTTGGCCTGGGCACTGTTGGGCTCGCGGTGAGTCTTAGTTGGGAGTGGTAAGGGGGGGTGGAGGAGGTGGGGGGTGGAGTGTCTGCAGGTGCTGCAGGTGCGTGGTGAGTAGCTACTGCAGCCAAGGTTGAACCCGGATCCACCGTTGCCATCTTTGGCCTGGCCACTGTTGGGCTCGCGGTGAGTCACAGCTGCCAGTGGTGGGGTGGGGGGAGTTGGGAGGAGGTTCTTGCATTGCATGATGTGGGTTGTCTGGGTGGACTTGCACATGCGGTGCAGTTAAGGTTGAGCCTGGATCCGCTGTTGCCATTGGCCTGGGCACTGTTGGGCTCGCGGTGAGTCACAGCTGCCAGTGGTGGGGTGGGGGGGAGTTGGGAGGAGGTTCTTGCATTGCATGATGTGGGTTGTCTGGGTGGACTTGCACATGCGGTGTAGTTAAGGTTGAGCCTGGATCCGCTGTTGCCATTGGCCTGGGCACTGTTTGGGCTCGCGGTGAGTACCTAGTTGGGAGTGGTGGTTGTGGGTGCAGGGGAGTGACTGACTCACTGGTAAGGCTTGCATGTCATGGGAAGTGCTACTTAATGAATGGCGGGTGCAGCCAAGGTGGATCCCCGTTCCACAGTTAAATGAGGTATAGAAAGACAGATTCGACCTGGATCCACAGTGAAATGAGGTATAGAAAGACAGATTCGACCTGGATCCACAGTTAAATGAGGTGGTTTTTGAGACGTCTCAAAAGCAACCTCATTTCACGTGGCGGGTGCAGCCAAGGCGGATCCCAGTTCCACAGTGTGTCTTTGAGAATTCTCAAAAACACCCGGTTCTCGTGAGTTAGAGTCTGGAGCGGTGGTGCTGCTGGCGTGCCTCGTGCCTTAACTTGTGTTCGCGGTAACTTCTGAGGCGCCTCAAAGGCCTGGGCACTTGTGGGTTCACGGTGACTCACAGGGTCTGGACTCGCTGACTCAGTCTGGAGTGGTGGTGCTGCTGGCGTGCCTCGTGCCTTAACTTGTGTTCGCGGTAACTTCTGAGGCGCCTCAAAGGCCTGGGCACTTGTGGGTTCGCGGTGACTCACAGGGTCTGGACTCGCTGACTCAGTCTGGAGTGGTGGTGCTGCTGGCGTGCCTCGTGCCTTAACTTGTGTTCGCGGTAACTTCTGAGGCGCCTCAAAGGCCTGGGCACTTGTGGGTTCGCGGTGACTCACAGGGTCTGGACTCGCTGACTCAGTCTGGAGTGGTGGTGCTGCTGGCGTGCCTCGTGCCTTAACTTGTGTTCGCGGTACCTTCTGAGGCGCCTCAAAGGCCTGGGCACTTGTGGGTTCGCGGTGACTCACAGGGTCTGGACTCGCTGACTCAGTCTGGAGTGGTGGTGCTGCTGGCGTGCCTCGTGCCTTAACTTGTGTTCGCGGTAACTTCTGAGGCGCCTCAAAGGCCTGGGCACTTGTGGATTCGCGGTGACTCACAGGGTCTGGACTCGCTGACTCAGTCTGGAGTGGTGGTGCTGCTGGCGTGCCTCGTGCCTTAACTTGTGTTCGCGTCTTTGTTGCCTCGCTGCCCAATGCGTGTCTAGCTGATGATAGGCTATGCGTCTGACTTAGACTCTCCTGTGCTGGAGTGTTCATGTGTGGCAGGTGGCGGAGGGGGCAAAGGCAGCCGGGGCATCGCGCATCATAGGCGTTGATATCGACCCTGCAAAGTTCGACACAGGTGTGGTTTGTGTGCATACTTGCTAATGCGTGGCAGGTGGCAGATGGGGCCAAGGCAGCCAAAGCATCGCGCATCATAGGCGTGGACCACCACCTTGAAAAGTTTGAAAGAGGTGGGGAGGGTTGTGTGTAGGTTGGTACACATTTCACAACGTAACGAAGTGACACCCCAAGTGTGGCGAACCAACCAAGTAGTGGCAGCCGGGGCATCGCGCATCATAGGCGTTGACCACCAACTTGAAAAGTTTGAAAGAGGTGGGGTGATGTGCACATGCATGCTTGGTGTGACAAAGCATGCACTCACGCATGCTTGGTGTGACAAAGCATGCACTCACGCATGTTTGTGTGGTCAACGCCTATGATGCCTACCAAGTCGCGCATTATAGGCGTTGACCACCACCTTGAAAAGTTTTAACAAGGTGGGGTGATGTGCACATGCATGCTTGCACGCATGCAAATGCATCCATATGTGCCTTCGTGCATGCATTCATGCATGCATGGTGTGTGACAAACCATGTGTGCGTATCAGATCGCGCATCTTAGGCGTGGACCTCCACCCTTCCAAGTTTGAAACAGGTGGGGTGCTGTTGCTGTGCACTTTCATGCAAGCATGGAGCGACATGAAGCAGCACACGCCAAGTAAAAACTTGACCAAGTAACAGCAACCAAGGACTAGAGCACCACAGCGAGCCTCAGAGGCGAAAGGATGGACTAAAGATTCCAGTGCGTCCATCTTTCCCTTCACGTCCCATCCGTTTCTTTTCTCTTTGCAGCTAAGGCATTTGGAATGAGAGAGTTCGTGAATCCCAAGGACCACAGCCGCCCCATTCAAAAGGTGCTGGTCGAGATGACGGATGGGGGAGTGGACTACAGCGTTGAGTGCATCGGTATCGTGGCAGTCATGCGGGCAGCGCTGGAGTGCTGCTGCCATCAAGATCCCGTATTCCAGTTTCAGACCCTCTTTCCCTTCCCTTGCCTGCCCTCCCCATTCCATCCACTGCCTCTTCGCCAGCCAAGGCCTTCGGAGTGACCGAGTTTGTGAATCCCAAGGACCACAGCCGGCCCATTCAGGAAGTTATTGTCGAGCTCACAGACGGGGGAGTGGACTACAGCTTTGAGTGCATCGGCAATGTGGCAGTCATGCGAGCAGCCCTCGAGTGCTGCCACAAGGGGTGGGGCGAGTCGGTCATCATCGGGGTGGCAGCGGCAGGGCAGGAGATCTCCACGCGGCCGTTCCAGCTGGTCACGGGGCGTGTGTGGCGCGGCACGGCGTTTGGCGGGTTTAAGAGCCGCACGGACGTGCCCCAGCTGGTGGACAAGTACTTGAACAAGGTGAGTGTGGTTTGTGTGTGTTGATGGGAGAGGTGTAGGAACAAGATGGTCACGGGGCGTGTGTGGCGCGGCACTGCGTTTGGCGGGTTCAAGAGCCGCACGGATGTGCCACAGCTTGTGGACAAGTACTTGAACAAGGTGAGTGTGGTTTGTGTGTGAAGTATAGACATGTATAAGTTAGGGGTCCATTGAGGGTGGCAGGGTAGCATCTGATGTGCTCTCTTTGGCGGGTTCAAGAGCCGCACGGACGTGCCTCAGCTGGTGGACAAGTATTTGAACAAGGTGAGCGTGTGAGTGGTGTGAGATAGATGATTAAGGCAGGGCATCACTGAGGGTGGGACTGATGGGGGTTCAAGAGCCGCACGGATGTGCCTCAGCTTGTGGACAAGTATATGAACAAGGTATGTGTTATCTGTGCATGTGGGTAGCAACCAGTCAGTCGTTATAGTAGTACTTATTTGAACAAGGTGAGGGCGTGTGGTGTGAGAAGTGCATGGATGGATCCAAGAGCCACAGGCAGGCACACACTCAGTTTCTGGACTCTCGCTCTTCCCGTTTATTCCCCTTTTGTGGCACCCGATCAACAGGAGGTAAAGATAGATGAGTACTTCACACACCCTTTCTACTCTCCCTCGCTATCCCACGCTGTTCCTCTCTCTCCTTTCTTTTCCACCTCATGTTACACAGGAGATCAAGGTGGACGAGTACATTACACACAATCCCCTCTCTCTTGCACGCTAACTCTCTACATCTCTCTACAAATTTCCCCCTCCCCACGTTTGTACACATCAACAGGAAATTAAGGTAGACGAATACATTACACACAACCTGCCCCTTTCGAAGATCAGCGAGGCCTTTGACTTGCTGCATGGGGGCAAGTGCTTGCGCGCCGTGATCCACATGCAGGAGGAGCAGTGATTTTGTGCTGGGAGAGGAATTGGGGAGATAGGTTGGGGGGAGGTAGCAGGTGGTACACGCATTCTTCCCCCTTCCAGTATCAACGAGGCATTTGACCTGCTTCACGGGGGCAAGTGCCTGCGTGCCGTGATTCACATGTAGGAGGAGCAGTGATAGGGTGCTGAGTGAAAGGGGTTGCGGGGATGGGATGGGAGGGGGTTGAGGGTATTTGGCGCGTTTTTTTCCTCGAAGATCAATGAGGCATTTGACTTGCTGCATGGGGGCAAGTGCTTGCATGCTGTGATCCACATGCAGGAGGAGCAGTGATTGTGTGATAGTGTGCCGGGTCACAGTGGTCTGTGAGTACCGAATCCTGGTGGAGTTGGGAGTGAGGGTGAAGGTGCTACTAGAGCATCCTCTTCTGCCCTCGCGGTGCATGTCTGCCGTGATTCACTTGCACAAGGACCAGACCAGTGATAGCATGCCCCAAACAGGAAATGTTTCGGTACTGATGGTGCTGGGATGGAGGCTGACGGGGCTAGCTGGAGCAGCCTCACTTCCTCGGTTCTAGGTGATTGACATGCAGGAGCACAAGTGATGCTAATTATTGTGCTTCTGGGATTGTTTCTTTACCAAGTTAGTGTCTCTGGGAAGATGCGGTGCCAATGAGCCACTACCTTTCCAGGTGCATGGCAAAGTTCTCCCACAAAACATTTTAAAGGGAATGGCAACAGCTGGAAATGGCTTTCTCATCAATGTGCAACACAAAATGCAGTCTGCAAGCCTATCAGCAGTTTCTAAAGCCAAACTAAGCTCTAACCCATGTCTCACTCCTCTAGCTGCCAGGGAACAAATCAACCATCCTGGCAATCGTGACTGCCATCTTTCGTGTCAGACACAGCAACAGCGAGATGGTATCAGTGCACAAGGTGACGCGACATGGCATGGGTCTCCCAAAGCTAGCGGTAGCTGATGTGAGGCCTCCCGAGCTTGGAAGAAGTTATCGTGAATGTGCCTAAGAGACAGGTTTACTTAACTGGACATTCTAATAGGTGAGCCTGTTGATCATGGGCTGGGGCCACTACTCTACTGAGTTGGCACGTGCTGATTTGGCAGTGAAGAGTGAGATTGGTGGGATGGGGCATCGTGGGGTGGAACAGGGTGGGATGGGGTGGAGCAGCTAGTGCTAGTGAGCCGAGTCGACAACTTTGGAAAGTGCATCCATCCCAGGGATGGCAGAGGCAACAGTGGATGGAATTGATTGGTGTGGGGTTGGGACGATCATGACCGCACAGCTGGCAGCATGTGCCACGTGGTCGCTGACGCTCCCCAATAGAACCCTGAAGGGGAGTGGGGAACAAGGTCAGGAGGGAGAGGGAGAGGGGGAGGGGGAGTAGGGGATAAGGGCGAAGGGAGAGGCGTGTAAAGGGCAACCATTACAGCACAATTGGCAGTGTGTGCTTTGTGGTTGTTCGCACCTTTGATGACATCCCCGGATTGACTATGGAGGCAGGTAGGAGCAGTGGGCAGGGGGAGGAATAGATTGGGCAACGTGCGTGCGCAATTTCGTTGCAATGAAAAGTACAATCCCTAGATGAGATAAAAACAAGTGTCTGAACCCGGAATCGAACCGGAGACCTCCAGTGTGTGAGACTGGCGTGATAACCGACTACACCATCCAGACATGTCTAGATATGTACCTTTACTTAATACTTTGAACGTAAAAACGTGTTGAAATTTTTGCTCCCCCGAGAAAATTCTACGGTGTGCGGGTAGGACTGTTGGTGCTTTGATTCGCCTTGAAGCACACGACCTATGTTATAACCGGGCACACGACAATGGGCAGGTGCGGGTAGGACTGTGCCCATCTCTTGTACCCACCTCGTTATAGCGCCATGCCCGTGGCTTCCCAGTACAATCACATCCGGGTCGACCTCGTTCGCTGCCTCGAGGATCCTCTCCCTCGCGTCGCCACACGCGCTCTTCGTCACCCACTCGTTCTTAAACGACGGCTGCGATTGAAAGGAAACGCACAGAACAGTGGAAGCATCATATTTCAAAGAATCACCGATTAAGAACAAAGCGAGAGAGGCGGATGTGAGATAAAGCACACGGAATGCAGGGAGAAGGGGGAGGGCGAGGGGGACAGGCGAAGCGGAGAAGGGACGCAGAAAAGCCGGATACATCTAAGCTATCAAAACGAGGATACATTTCTTTGTTATAAGCTCACTTTGTAGGTGCTGGCAAGTTTCCGGTACTTGTCTAGCAGCTTGTGACTATCTCGAAGGTACTGTTCCTCGAACTCCTGTTTGTAGGTCTGAGCGGCATAGAAGTCCACCTCTTCGGGAATCGTGCCACGTCATCCATCCGGTTACAAGAACAAAAAGGCGTTCAGATTTCTCAGGCATCGGGAAAATTTGTTAAAAAAACACGACTGGCGAAGGAGTAATTCAAGAAACAAAGGCGCGAGGGTTCCGGATGCAGCTGCAATCGCCGGCCCCCTCGCGTAGTACCTTCAATCTGCGGTCGGACGTGAACGATAGTAACCCTATCGTTGTCCTCGACAACCTTTTCGCACGCGAATTGTAACGCGTGGCGACTGCCCTCCGAATCGTCCACCGCGATTAAGAAATTTCGCCCCGCTTCGCCCGCCGCCATAGTCAGTTCGGTAAGAACGACACGACCAGTCGACGTACAGGAGCGGGGAAGGATGGTACGGCAAAACGATTAGAAAAAACCGAGAAAGACGTGAAGTCTCGAGATTGCTAATTTTGACTTGCCAAACAAGACTACGCCTAGTCAATAAAGACAGTGACGCGACGACGATAATATTTAACTCAACGGCCCTCACTTCTAGTTAGTAACACGCGAGCCAAAGAAAACTAATATTTGCCTGGAGGATGTCATACCGTAATCAGTGAACAGCAGCAACAGAATTCAAGAAATCAAGAAATCTCTCGAGGAAAACAAGCAATCAGCCAAGAACAATCGCATCTGGTGTTGGGCGCTGTGTGACGCTGAGGGCAAGATCGGAACTAAATGATGTCGGGTTCAGTACGTTTTGACGTTTTTAGAATACGGTGCTCCGCGGTGCTTGAAATTCTGCATCAAACTACCATGCACAGTTGGCGGTGTCACTTTTGATGCCAGCTGTTCCTGCTTCGCCACACGAGTTCTTTCCCGTGTAGCCATGTGGACTTGGTGACGCGATATTTACAAACCAGCAGCGGAAGCTTGGTGGCAATACAATTCGATTACGTCAGCTTGAACTACTAGGACAATGTCTGCACATCCTCGCAAAAAGATCGTGCACAAATGTGAAGGAGCGAATTTTAGATTCTCAAGGAAACAAATGCCAGTCTAGAATTCTAAGTGGGCTTTTCTATGTTCAGTAAAAAACATTCAGGCATTCATTCTAAACGCATTGGTACATGCACAACAAACTCCTCATCTGGTGACCGATCAGGTCAGAGCACATGATTGACCAACACCTTAAAAGCCCGTATTTGCAAAGCTAGAATGACCCACCCGAATAAAAAAGATACATGAGGTATGTACTAACCAAACCAAAAATCACCATAACATTACACAACCCCATAGCCCCTCGCCCCCCCAACCACCCAGAAGTCAGACTTACTCCACCGTGACACTCTTGGCGAGGTTTCGAGGTTGATCGACGTTAAAACCCCGAATAACAGTCAAATGGTATGCGAGGAGCTGTAATGGAATTATGTTAATGATAGGCTGTAGGCAGTCCTCCACATGGGGCACTTCGATTATCTTAGCCGCGCCATTCGGACACATGAGATCCGCATCCCCCTCAGAGCAGATCACCATTAGTCGGCCGCTGCGCGCCTGCAGTTGTTGAATAACTGACTGCTGCTTGCTGCATTGGTGCGTAAGGGCCACGGAAAGGGGAGTAATGGAACAAAAGAGGTGCAACATTAGATACATGAACATAAGCTTGCTGCTGGTTCTTTTTGAATGCATTGTCAACCCATAGTCAGATACCCGTACCTCACTGGACCCATCACCACCCGTCAGCCCACCTCGACACTCCCAGCAGCCCTCAGCCCACAATCCCTCCTCTCTCCCCTCCTCACCTGCACGTGCTGTCCCTAGTGGCAACAACAATGATGGGCAGAGTGGCGTTAACGAGGGCGAGGGGGCCGTGCTTCATCTCCTCAACCACCACCTCCTTACCCTTCCACACCCATCACCACCCCTCTGCTCACCTGCACATGCTGTCCCGAGTAGCAACAACGATGATAGGCAGAGTGGCATCGACGAGGGCGAGGGGGCCGTGCTTCATCTCGCCGGCCAGAATGCCCTCGCTGTGCATCGCATCCCACGCATTACCTCCCCCAACCCACCATCACCCCTCAACCCACCTGCAGGTGCTGTCGCGGGTGGCAACAACGATGATAGGCAGAGTGGCATCAACGAGGGCGAGCGGGCCGTGCTTCATCTCGCCCGCCAGAATGCCCTCGCTGTGCATCAGCGCCACCTCCTTCACCTTCAACGCCCCCTCCACCGCCGTCGCGTAGTTGTACCCGCGCCCAAACACCAGCAGGCTCTGCTCGCCTGACAGCTCGCGGGCCAGTTGTTGTATCTCAGAGTCGAGCCTCAGCACCTGCCGCACTTTCCCTGAAGAAAACACGAGATGGGAGAGAAGGGGTGGGGGAGAGGGGTGTGGGGTGGTGTAATTGCGTAGTTGTACCCACGGCCAAACACCAGCAGGCTCTGCTCCTCTGAAAGCTCTCGAGCCAGTTGCTGAATCTCAGAGTCGAGCCTCAGCACCTGACGCACCTTCCCTGATGGCGGGGAGAAGGGGTTGGGAGAAACGAAAACTTGTAAAGCTGTTGTGTAGTTGTAACCGCGGCCAAACACCAGCAGGCTCTGCTTGTCTGACAGCTCTCGAGCCAGCTGTTGGATATTTTAGTGCAGCCTCAGCACTTGGCACACAGAAGTCAAGAAAGTGACAGGTAGGCACGGCTCAGCGAGTGGCGATGCACAGTGCACTTACTGGGCAGGTCAACCAGGCACAAAGAGACAAGAAGGCACGGGCACAGGGAGTGGCAGTGCACTTACTGGGCAGGTCGATGAGACCATCTATAATCCGCTCTCTTCTCTCTTTCGAGGAGATGCTGTCCTCGCCAATCGCCAGCGCCATCAGCACCAGCACTGCAATCTGACTCGTGTATGCCTGTGACATTTACCACCAGAAAATTGCAAAGGCGAGGCAGAGTGAATCATGAGATGGCACATGGCAGCATCCAATACGACATGCATTGACACACATGAGGAAGCCACACATAAACTGGAGGTTCAGAGGTTCAGAGGTTCAGAGGTTCAGAGGTTAACCGCAGAGGTGTGGCGTGGACACACTTTTGATGGCACTCCCCACCACAGTGTGTCCGCCTGGCGATGGGGCTCCCCACCGTGTTATTCACCCCAACACACAGCGCCCTTTGAGTCGACTCAAAAGTCCCCACCGTGTTATTCATCCCAACACACAGCGCCCTTTGAGTCGACTCAAAAGTCCCCACCGTGTTATTCACCCCAACACACAGCGCCCTTTGAGTCGACTCAAAAGTCCCCACCGTGTTATTCACCTCAACACACAGCGCCCTTTGAGTCGACTCAAAAGTCCCCACCGTGTTATTCACCCCAACACACAGCGCCCTTTGAGTCGACTCAAAAGTCCCCACCGTGTTATTCACCCCAACACACAGCGCCCTTTGAGTCGACTCAAAAGTCCCCACCGTGTTATTCACCCCAACACACAGCGCCCTTTGAGTCGACTCAAAAGTCCCCACCGTGTTATTCACCCCAACACACAGCGCCCTTTGAGTCGACTCAAAAGTCCCCACCGTGTTATTCACCCCAACACACAGCGCCCTTTGAGTCGACTCAAAAGTCCCCACCGTGTTATTCACCCCAACACACAGCGCCCTTTGAGTCGACTCAAAAGTCCCCACCGTGTTATTCACCCCAACACACAGCGCCCTTTGAGTCGACTCAAAAGTCCCCACCGTGTTATTCACCCCAACACACAGCGCCCTTTGAGTCGACTCAAAAGTCCCCACCGTGTTATTCACCCCAACACACAGCGCCCTTTGAGTCGACTCAAAAGTCCCCACCGTGTTATTCACCCCAACACACAGCGCCCTTTGAGTCGACTCAAAAGTCCCCACCGTGTTATTCACCCCAACACACAGCGCCCTTTGAGTCGACTCAAAAGTCCCCACCGTGTTATTCACCCCAACACACAGCGCCCTTTGAGTCGACTCAAAAGTCCCCACCGTGTTATTCACCCCAACACACAGCGCCCTTTGAGTCGACTCAAAAGTCCCCACCGTGTTATTCACCCCAACACACAGCGCCCTTTGAGTCGACTCAAAAGTCCCCACCGTGTTATTCACCCCAACACACAGCGCCCTTTGAGTCGACTCAAAAGTCCCCACCGTGTTATTCACCCCAACACACAGCGCCCTTTGAGTCGACTCAAAAGTCCCCACCGTGTTATTCACCCCAACACACAGCGCCCTTTGAGTCGACTCAAAAGTCCCCACCGTGTTATTCACCCCAACACACAGCGCCCTTTGAGTCGACTCAAAAGTCCCCACCGTGTTATTCACCCCAACACACAGCGCCCTTTGAGTCGACTCAAAAGTCCCCACCGTGTTATTCACCCCAACACACAGCGCCCTTTGAGTCGACTCAAAAGTCCCCACCGTGTTATTCACCCCAACACACAGCGCCCTTTGAGTCGACTCAAAAGTCCCCACCGTGTTATTCACCCCAACACACAGCGCACCCCTCGCCCGCGCATACTCCAGCGCTTCCAGAACCCACACAGAGTGCCCACCTCCCTACCAGGCTACCAGCAGCAGCTCACCTTGGTGCTGGCAACGCCGATTTCAGCCCCGGCATTGATGAAAACACCACAGTGAGTGCGGCGGGCGATAGCACTCCCCACCGTGTTAGTCACCCCCACACACAGCGCCCCTCTCGCCCGCGCATACTCCAGCGCCCCCTTTTCTCACACAAAGCGCCCATCTCCCTGTTACCAGCAGCTCACCTTGGTGCTGGCAACGCCAATTTCAGCACCAGCATTGATGAAGACTCCACAGTGTGTCCGCCTGGCGATAGCGCTGCCAACAGTATTAGTCACGCCCACGCACAGCGCCCCCCTCGCTACCATGCCACCAGAAGCAGCTCAACTTGGTGCTGGCGACGCCGATTTCAGCCCCAGCGTTGATAAACACTCCACAATGCGTCCGCCTGGCGATGGCACTCCCCACCGTGTTAGTCACGCCCACACACAGCGCACCCCTCGCCCGCGCATACTCCAGCGCAGCCAGAACCCACACAGAGTGCCCACCTCCCTACCAGGCTACCAGCAGCAGCTCACCTTGGTGCTGGCGACGCCGATTTCAGCCCCAGCGTTGATGAATACACCGCAGTGTGTCCGCCGGGCGATGGCACTCCCCACCGTATTCGTCACGCCCACGCACAGCGCCCCCCTCGCCCGCGCATACTCCAGCGCCGCCAGAGTGTCCGCCGTCTCCCCCGACTGGCTCATAAACACCGCCGTATCCTCTCTATAAACCGGCGCGTTTCTGTCTAGCATGTCGCTCGCCAGCTCCAGTTGAACCGCCACCCCGGAGAGCTCTTCCAACAGAGGACGCACAGCGAGTGCTGCGTGGTAACTGGTGCCACAGCCCACGAAAATGATGCGCCTGCTGCGGCGGATAGTGAGGAGATGGTCTTTTAAGCCTCCCAGAAGCACCCCTTTCTCCTCAGACCAAGGGGCGGAGCTTGTGCGGTTGACAGGGGAGAGTTTGGAGAGAGGCGAGAGGGGCGGCAGGCCGGAAATCCCCCCTCCTGCTGCTCCTGCTGTTGAGGCTACCGGGCTGCTTCCATTCGAACCAGCAGAGGCAATGGCAGCAGTAGCGTCACCACCAGCAGCAGCTGCTGCTGCGGCTGCTATGGAGGCGGAGGGTGGAAGGGAGCTGCAAGCATTAGACGCAGTAGGCGAGAGCGAATCCGCCTTGCCGTGAATCAGCCTGCCTCTCAGCGTCATGGTAAGCGACTCAGGCTGCTCGTGAATCTCCTTCTGCATGAAATGGTCATAACTCCCCTTCATAATCTGCTCTACCTCCATCTCTAGAGTCGACAGAGCCCGCTGCAGCGCCGTCGTGGGGGGCAAACCGCGCTTGGCCTTATCCGGCTCGAACGAAAACAGCGAGACCACGCCGTCCCTGATATGCACCACCTCGTTATCCTCTATAACCATCACTTTCTTCGTATGCTCTACCACCGCGCTCGCATCACTGGCTAGAAACAACTCTCTCGGTCCCGTCGCCCCCGCTCCTCCTCGCACCACCCCTCCAGGCTCCTCCGCGCCCACTATATCAAACGCGGATTTCCGGCCGTCAGAGGGGACTTTGACTCCGAGCAGTAGCGGGCTGCCGCGCTTGCAGGCGACGAGCTGGTTGGGGAAGTGCGGGCTCTTGAAGAGCAGCGCGTAGGCTCCCTCCAGCTGCCGCATCACCTCCATCACCACTTGGGTGAATGCCACTCGCTCCCCGTTGGTGGAACCGTTGACTGTGGGAGGTGGGGGGTGGAGGGGAAGACAAGAGTGAGGAGGACGGAGAGCAGCAAGTAGGCTCCTTCCAGCTGCCGCATCACCTCCATTACGACCTGCGTGAACGCCACTCGCTCACCACCTGTGGCACCGTTGACTGTGGGTGGTGGGGAGCGGGGAGTCAGGGGAGAGGGAGGAAATGGGGGGAGGATGAGGGTGAGGGAAGAGTGGGAGTTTAACGCCCAAGGGCAGGGGGCTGTCGCGCTTACTAATGGGGAGAAGAGTGTGCGGGGAATGAGGTGTTGGGAGGAGGGAGGAGGAGGGGGGGAGGATGAGGGGGGGAGAATGAAGGCGTCGGCGCCCACCAGCTTCGCAACAACCTCTCGCTCTTCCTCCCTCTTACCGTCCCTCCTTTTCCCAGCACCCAAGCCCCTTTTCCCTGCCTTTCCCTTACCTGTCTTGCTCGACACGCCATTGCCCATGCCCGAGACGCCATTGGCCATGCCCTTGCCGCCATGCCCCCCTTCCGACAGCAGCAGGTTGTCGTACACGAATTTCGCGAGCTTCGCAATCACCTCTCGCTGTTCCTCCCTCCTACCTCCCCTCCCGTTCTTACCACCCAATCCCCATCTCCCTGCCCCTCCCCTACCTGTCTTGCTCGAGATGCCATTGGCCATGCCGTTGGCCATGCCTTCGCCGCCATGCCCCCCTTCCGACTGCAGCAGATTGTCATACACGAATTTCGCGAGCTTCGGGATCACCTCGGTGTCCGTCTCCGACTCAAACGTGAACCCGTGCTTCTGGAGGGTGCCCTTCAGCGCCTGGAGGATGGGGTGGAGTGGGGTGTGAAGGGGTATTGAGGAGTGTGGAGAGGTGTGAGGTGGTGTGGGGGAGTCTGGGCGGGTGTAGGGGGAACTTGGGAGTCTCAGGATTACCTCGGAGGAGAACGGAGGACGCGGTATGGAGGAGTGCGGAGGGGTGTGGGGGAGTGTGAAGGAGTGTGAAGGAGTGTAGGGGAAACTCGGCGAGCTTCGGGATCACCTCTGCGTCCGTCTCCGACTCGAACGTGAAGCTGTGCCTTTGGAGGGTGCCCTTCAACGCCTGGGGGATGAGGTGGGGTACGGAAACGTGGGGCAGTGGGGGAGTGTGGGGAAGAGCCGACGCTTCGCTGTATCTTGTAGTTGGTGGTAACCCCGTTGTGCATCACCAGAAACTCGCGGTTTGGACAATAAGGATCTCGAAGTTTGTTAGGATCCATTCTCATGGAAACAGTAAGAGCTGACGTGATAATGCCGTTGTGCACCATCAGGAAGTCGTGGATTGAACACGTAATAATCACGGTTTTGGAGGATTCATTTTCACGGAAAGAGTAAGAGCTGACGCGACACTGTACCTTGTAGATTGTGATAACCCCGTTGTGCATCGCCAGAAACTCGTGGTTCGTACATTATGAATCTCGAGGTGTCTTAGGAGTCATTTTCAGAGGAACAGCAAGGGCTGACGCGACAGTGTACCTTGTAGTTGGTGATAATCCCGTTGTGCACCACCAGAAACTCGTGGTTTGGACCGGACGACTGAGGATGCGAGTTGCGGGGGGACGGCGCGCCGTGAGTGGCCCAACGCGTGTGCGCAATGCCAACGTGGCGGGGAAACGCGCGGCTCATATCCAACTTAGAGTCCGCAACCTCTGCTCGGAGAAAAAGTTGGAAAGGCGGAGAGAAAGAAACGGGTGGGGAAGGAGAGGGAGAGGGAGAAACGCAGGAGCCGAAGGGTACGGTTTGGATAGTGAAGGAAGGAGAAGGAAGGGAAGATAGAAAAAAGAAATCGCATCAATCAGTCTCTTCATTCATTCTTAAAACGGGCAAGTACAGATGAATCGCAGAGGCTCCACCGTTCAGTGCATCTTGGAACCATGTCTGTCACAAAAATCGTACCTTGTCTATCCATCGTACCTTGCCGAACTTTCTTCACTAGGTTGGCAATCTTCCCCTTCTGTCGGAACAGCAGTGGCTCAGCGCCTTTACGTTCCGATGGAGTAACATTCGTGATGTCCGCAAGAGACTTCGCAGAAGCTTCGGTTCCGTTTATCTCTGCTAACGCGGTAATGACCGCTTCTGAGTCGGCATCGGCGTCGACGCTGATTCCCGCGGAATCGTAGCCTCGGTATTCGAGCCTTCTCAGGCCGTTGAAGAGTATCTCGAGGATTTCGGAGCGCTGCTTTGGACACTCATAGTTCAAGTACGCGAAGATGCCACACATCTTGAATACAAAAAAGAAGACAGGGGAGCGAAAACTTTATGACTTTGTGTTGCTAAGAGTCTACTTCTTGGCAACGAGAGGAAAAATGAGGTCGACCGCACTACACCGTCCCGTATGCTCTGAAAGAGGACGACGGCTTTTAAGAAAATCCTTCTATCTGTAAAAGCCGGTTGTCGTCGTGATAGCACGATCCGGAACTAGCCGCAGCAGCCAGATGACGTGACAGGTCCGCGACGAGCAGCCTCTTCGTTGTTTCTTGAATATACGGATTAGCACGTTCTGAGACGATTCTGGTGGTCAAACCACCTGGACACCGTGTTTTGATGGCTCCCCCGTGTCCATTCAGCTTCACGCTCAAGAACTCAGCAGCAGTCTGTAAAACATATCACGGCATTGATAAGTTGCGCTGCAGGACGAGCCTGGTCAATATGGCTGATCCACAACACTACGCACCAGCAGCTTCAAACGACTTCTTGACCCCGTCTTTTTAGCTACCTACTTTTTAGGAATGACAAAGAAAAAATTGCCGGCCGTGGGCAACTCTTCGTGTGCTTTTGAGTTTCCTTGGGAGCTGCGAGAGGTGTAGCGATGCAACTTTGGCGGGAGTTGTGCAAAAACACTTCTATACTGTAAACATTCGCCAGAGCTTGGCGGGAAGTAAGTTCGGAATTACCGAAGCATCCACCCTCTCAACCCCCAAATTTCAGGGTTCGGTCATAGATCTATGGAGTCAATAGCGAAGACTTCTTCCTGGCCAGGTCAGCTTCGGGTCTACAAACCAGAAAGCAGACCCCGAGGAGGGACGTGATTGGTAATCGAAGAGTGAAGGGAGCCGAACCAGTCCAGCTGTGCGAAGGGAAGCTTTCCCGCCGAAGCCACTTGGGACGAGGTTGGATGTTGGGGCGATGAGGCGTGTCAACCAACGTCCCCCTGACCAGTCTTCGTGGTTCAACCTGACACAAGTCGCTGCCGAACCTCTGACTTGATTTGGGGCAGAGGCAGGATAAAAGGGAAAATATGTCAATGGTAACAAACATGGGGCACTGTAACGCGTACGGTAACGATTTCAACGCGTTTGGTAACTCGCTTAACACGTTTGGTAACTCGCTTAACACGTTTTGTTATGAGTTTTACTAGTCAGAGTGCGCGGAAGACTTTATAAAAAGGATGAGAATTACAGAATGTCCAGAATGATAATGAAGCGAGCATTTATAGGGTCGAAACCGTGCTAGGCGAGGACCTCGATGTGCGTGGCTCGGGAATGTCGCAATTGGTGCGGGGCGACTCGGGGCTGGTTCGGTACGAAAGTGTAGGCCGAGCCTTTCTGACGCGAAGTCATCGGGCTGTCCTCGCTAGGACTACAGTAATGAATGTATATTCATTACACTCTCCCACCTTCTAAATAAGGTGCACTTATACGAAGCCGAGTCTTGCAGTAGCGTGAAACTGCCGATCTCGGTTGAAAACTGATCCGACGGTAGAAAACCCGTTGACTTTCGAGTTGACGCGAGGCTGACTAGTTGACCAGGCGAATTAGAATGAAGTTGGGATGTCAGCCGTTGAACTCTCAGATGTAGATCTGACGGTTGCGATCGAAATGTTGAGTTGAAATCCGCAGTTGAATAGAAAACCGTAGATGGAGCGGGTGTGAGGCGGATGGTGGAGATGATCGCGAAGTTGGCAGGAGTTCTGACGCATGTCAGAAGTCGGAAATTCCGAGGCCGTCGATGCCAATAGAGCGATCTCGAGCGTCCGTCGTGCTGCGGATAGAAGGGTAGACCCCGAGAAAATACCCTTTCTCCCCCCCCCTTGCAATAGAAGGGTAGACCCCGAGCGTAATACAGCTGCGCGGGTAGAAACTACAGAAATCCTCTCTGCCGGGGGTAATCCAAAATACCAGGTGTTATGAACCCCTTCGAAAATTTAGCGGTTGCACTCGCGAAAACGTTGTCGGTGGCGGAACTTCGAAATCTTGACTTGGAAAACTCCCTCAGGGTAAAACCGTTTCGAAGTCCTTTAAGCAGATAAAATCGTTGGGCGTGTCAGAATCCCAGCCACTAACCACTGGGATAAAAGGGCTTGTTTGTGTAGCGGGTGAGTGCGCCCATAACCCCCCAGGCCGCCGTGCCTGTAACCCTTCCCTAGGATCAATCGGGGATCACCAGTGGACCTCTGACACCCCCCCGCACTGGGATGCCCGAGGTGCACACACCGGGATTCGAACCCGAGACCTTCGCTCTGATACCATGTCAGAATCCCAGCCACTAACCACTGGGATAAAAGGGCTTGTTTGTGTAGCGGGTGAGTGCGCCCATAACCCCCCAGGCCGCCGTGCCTGTAACCCTTCCCTAGGATCAATCGGGGATCACCAGTGGACCTCTGACAGGGCGTGTGGACTCGAAACCTCCGAATGAGAACTATTAAGCAGACTGTAAATATTGTCTTGTAGTCGCGACTGCTGCTGCAGAATCTCCCGTGACTGCCACCTCGAAATCCCTCGCGTGGCAGTATCGAATCATTTGTTTGCTGCCGGATCTCCGGTTGTCCGCTGCTGCAATCCCAAAATTGTTACCGTTTGTCTTGTTGTAGTGGTGGAAAATCCTCGCTGTAGCTTCTCAAGCTGTCGGTGCCCCCGGCAGTCTTGTCCAGACTCGCCGAGGCATTTGTCGCTATTCTCCGAAAACTTCCGGGCAGAGGCGAAAAACAGCTGCTGTTCCTCCCTCAAACCCCCGAAATATTTTTCAACTTCGAACATGATTTTTCGATGACGTCAGCTGCATTGTCGATGTTGTCGTGGCTCGCAGAAAACTCCTGGGCAGGGGCGAAAACAGCTGTCCTCCCCTCCCGTGACCTGTAGCAAATTTTCACTCGTGATGTCGCTGGTACCCCCGAAACGGAGACGGAATTAATTGCTAAACTAGTTCCCGTCGGTTTTGCGCGCTTAACCGAGCGCCTCTGCATCGCCGCCGTTTCGAACGGAACCGTCGACCGTTGCTGCCGAACTCCGTCAAGACTCAGCCCCAGTACTGCTGCTGAAACCCGTAAATGTCGGAAATCAATACACCAGGTAAAATCTTGGTCGCCTGCAGGTTGTCCCGCGAAAGAACCGGTGTTTCTAGTACGCCCACCCGGTCACCATTTTTTTCGTGCGGTTAACCACCCAAGCAACCCACCAGCAGGAGGCGCTTTTTTGGCGTGGAACCCAGTACTTATGGGTCTTCCGAGACCGATTTTCACGGACCCTAGCGCGCATCAACGCCGCAGATCTCGCCGTTGAACTCCCCTAGGTAACTCCTTAAGTACACCGTAAACGCGTAAAACAGCTGGCGAGCAGACGTTCACCCGTCTCCCACCGTCGAAATTGCACCCGAAAATCGTGGTTGAGGAATCGAGCCCCGAAGTATTTTCTGCCTTGTAGCCCCGACATTTCCGCCGATTAACCCTGGTACTCCGACGTTCACCCATCTTCGTACCTGTCGGAATCACTTAGCAAATCCCAGGCATCCTTGGCAATACACCCCTCGCCGTGCCTCCATGTAACGATATCAAACCCTTTCGGGGGTCTACCGAATAGACTCCGAAATTCGCGGTGGAGTGGTGTGCGGGCTCCGCCTATCACTCAAGTTGCTTGAAACGACACCCACAACTTTCCCTCCTTTTTTTTTTTATTTTCACCCCCTGACAATTTCGCTTGCCGCCGTTCACCCAGCGTCCGCTTTTGTCGGATGAGGCATTCTTCGTGTTGTCTCGCGTTTTTTCTGGCGTTCGATGAAGGCGCGAACGCAATCGTAGTCGGCACGAGTTTATCATATCAAACTCTCAGCCGGCCGCTTCGCTGCCCACCGTGCCTATCGCCTTAAAACTCCCCAGCTTCGGGACTCCGTCTTCGCTGCTACACCGCTGTGGGGTAGACCGTTGAATCCGGAGAAACTCCGACAGCTGCCACAATGTCTTCGGTCCCGACTTTTTCGGCAGGGTAACTGTCGCCGATGGTCCGTTTTTGTCGGGGCCGAACAGTGCCGCATCCGTGAATTTTTTCTTGAACGCCCTGCCGTCGAACCAGCGTCACCCGCGCCTTTCTAACCAGCACAGGGCTAAACACAGGGCCCCACCTTTGTATCCAGTGGCCAACAGGACTTACGAATTGCCTTTGAGGCTTTTCTG